TAGAACACCACGAGCGAACAAAAAGCAGGGCGATCTCAAACTTCCGCTCACAGTTATCCCTTCGTGCCAAAATTCCGTGGAAGGAATGACACGAAGTTGGCAGCGTTTACAAGCACGCCCTAGAACGACTCTGGTTCTCTCTTCACAGCACCAGGTTATTCTCGTAATCGCGCGAGTAATCGCCAGTCACTAGCGAGTGCGTTGTTCACGTTCAGAACACCAAGTTCTGCGACTGGAGCAAAAGAGAGCGCTAATACGCGTTGTAATATTCCATTCTCGAAGCTTCGAAGCTCATTGCCTGACACTGAATAACCTCTAATATCAGAACTCCTCGAGGCTCTCCAACGAGCCCATGGCGTCCGATCCCAAGCCTCCATCAATAGGCGAGTCGCTCTCCGCTCAGCCTAGTCGCACCATCTTTATCTCCAAAGACCTTCGCGACCCGCTGCACGTGCTGCGATGCGGACTCGCGGCGTACATGCCGAAAGGATCGCTACCCACCTACTCCGACCTTTTCCTCCTCCTCATCGAAGCCGCGCCGCACCTCGTCGAGAGACTCTTCGTTGGCGCCGCTGTCGCTGGTGAGCAATAGCATTCGATATTGTCACCTCGGTTCTGTCGTTTGTAAAAGACATTGACTCACTCTGTTCATGCCAAAAGGATCGCTACCCACTTATTCCGACCTCTTCCTCCTTTTCATCGAAGCCGCGCCGCACCTCGTCGAGAGGCTCTTCGTTGGCGCCGCTGTCGCTGGTAGGCACAACCTTCACCTCGTTATCGTCTGTAGTATCGTTCATGCCGGGAGGATCGCTACCCACCGACTCCAACCCCTTCCTCCTCCGACCCCTTCCTCCTCATCGAAGCCGCTCTCCACTAGGTAGATAGAATCTTTGCTGGCGCCGCTGTTGCTGGTGGTAGATACTCCATTTACCTCGTTATTGTCACCTCGCTACTACTGTCGCCTCATCAGCTTGTTATGGACTCCACTGTTCCCTCTAGGGATAAACACAACCTCACATCGTTCCCTCGCTGCCTGCATAAAAGTATCCGTGCTTAGAGACATTTAGCATTTCCCTTACCCCGCACCCCCTGCCTGTCCACCCCCACGGACATCAGGAGACAACGCTGACGTGGCAATTTCCAACGCTCGTGAGAATCTTGCCCAGCTCGTCAGAAAGGCTAGACGCGTCAGCACCCCCTTGACCCAGGCCCACCCACCAGCAGGCCAGTCAACCGTATTCCACCCAGGTCAATTCCAGTCTTTTCCAGGCCAATTACCAGGCAGCAGCAGCAGGAGCAATCCGTACTTTAACTTCGTTCCAGGCCAAGTACCAGGCAGCAGCAACAGTAACCCATACTTCAATTTCACACGAGGCCAAGTACCAGGTAGCAGCAACAGCAGCAATCCATACTTCAACTTCATGCCAGGCCAAGTCCCAGGTAACAGCAACAGCAACCCATACTACAATGTCGCGCCAGGCGCGCAGCAGAAGGCTGCGCCTAGGAGAGGAAGGGCGAGCAGGAGGAAGAAGACGGGAGCAAGTATTGAGGACGACGAGTCTGACGGTTACCAGCCTGTGACTTTCCGGCTCCCGAATGTTCTTGAGATCATGGCCGTTGATCCAGCAGCTGTGGACGGACTGGATTTTTCCAAGTCGAAGATCGAATCTTCTTCAAAGTTTGGCTGGGGGGGACCTCGGCGTGGATGTAATTATGAGGAGCTGGCAGCTAGAGGTGAGCGTATTTCATGCTATGTGCCCTTGACTGTGTATGGCAGCAGCGTTTTCACTATTTGCTCTACCTTGCACAGACAACAGTGTCATCTGGGTCAATCGTTTATTTGGATCCCTTGTTTCATTTCTGTTGCCTTGTGCAGAGGATCCAAGTGAGCAGCCATCCGCAAACGTCGGTCGTAAGCGCAAGTCCAGGCGAGCAGTGGGTAGCGCAGGCCTGGAAAATCCAGGTATGGAAAATGCAGGCGCAGATAACTCAGCATCTGAAAATACAGCTTCGGAAAATACAGGTCCTGGACATACAGATCTGGAAAGTACAGGCTTAGGAGATTCAGGTCTGGGGGATCATCAGAGCGGTTCTCCAGGCTTGGCGAGTGGACAGGATGTGCCAATTGGTTATGTTGAGCCTACTGCTGCAGAGAATGGTCCTGTGGATGAGAGGGAAAATGTGCAGGACGGTGGATGGGATACAGTGCCTGTACCAGTGGAGCTGGCAATTGATGTGTCCAAGCCGAGCTTGTGATCTACGGTGGGGTCAGGCAATGGGTTGTGCTACTGCTGGTGAAGTTCCAGTACTGCCTATGGCATTAACGTCAAGCTACAATGGGTTGGTCCGATATGTTAGAGCTGGGACACTGTTTTCAGTTAGCATTGTTGGAAGAGTATGTGTTGCAAATGCTAGTATAATTGTAATGTTCTCTGCACCGCTTATATGCAATCATACTAGAATAGCAAAGCTTGTCCACAGATGTTGCCGCGTTCTTCGCTCTTACATAATTCCGCGTTCATCCATTCCAACGCCCATCCACCTCCCCTATCTCCGCCTGTCAGTCTGCGTCCGTGCCAGACCTCTCTGGTGCGGTGGCCCGCACAGCCACTCAAATCCCATCGCCGCAACATCCATCACCTTCACGCATCCATTCCAATCCGTGCATGCGTCAGCTGTGGACAGACAAACGCGTACTTCAAACCACCTCACACCACCTAACGAGATGAACAGCTCACCGTACAGGACCGTGCAAGTTTCCTCTCTTTGGTGTTTCTTATCAAGAAAGCGATTGTGCTGCATCCCTCCGTGCCTAGGGTTTCACGGGCCTCCTTATCTCGAAGCACCTCCATACGCTTCCTTATTTCTGTCCGTCCACTCGTTTCTTTCTTGCAACTCTTACTTGAAGCTTGCAGGCCTAGCTTCCTTTCCTCCAAATTTTCAGTACTTCCATCACTTTCAGTCGCCATCTCAGTGCTCGCCTAGCTTTATTACTTACGGCTTTGTCTTGTTCTTGGCAGGCTTGTTAGGGGTTGTGAGATTCGCTGCGGGTGGACGGTTTCTCTACCGTTTCTTAATTTTCGTTTTCGTAGAAAAACAAAATCCGTTGCTTCTCGCTTCATAGTAGACCGCGTCTCGTCTTCAAAAGTGCTGTCATAGCGTCTTCCGTTCTGTTTTTCTTACACCTCTTCACTGAATTATTCTCCACGCTAATAAGGATGCCGGCGAAGGATCCGCCAGGCAGTCCTACCAAGTCCAGGAGCATCACCAAGACGGTAAATGGCAGCCATCAGTTCAACATCACCGGCTACTCCCTCGCCAAGGGCATGGGAGTCGGCAAATACATGTCCAGCGACACGTTTACCGTTGGAGGCTTCAAATGGGCTATTTACTTTTACCCGGACGGGAAGAACGCGGAGGATAACTCGCAGTACGTTTCGCTCTTCATCGCGCTTGCGAGCGAGGGGACGGACGTCCGTGCGTTGTTCGAGCTGACGATGCTGGATCAAAGCGGACGGGGTCGCCATAAAGTCCATTCGCACTTCGACCGCGCGCTTGAATCTGGACCGTACACGCTCAAGTACCGAGGATCCATGTGGGGTTACAAGCGGTTCTTCCGGCGAGCGACGCTAGAGACGTCGGATTATCTCAAGGACGACACGCTACAGATCACGTGCACGGTCGGAGTTGTTGTGACTGAAACGGAGGGTCCGAAGCAGCCGGTGTCGATACCAATTCCGCCGTCGCAGATGGGGAAGGATTACGAGGTGCTTCTGTACTCGGGCGAGGGATGCGATGTAACGTTCGACGTTGGAGATGAAACGGTGTCCGCCCATAGAGTCATCCTCGCCGCGCGCTCGCCAGTCTTGAAGGCCTTACTGTACGGACCCATGCGGGACAGGCGGGAGGGTAACATCCCCGTTACAGACATCGAGGCTCCGGTGTTTAAAGCTCTCCTTCATTTCATCTACACCGACGATCTCCCAAGCTCTGGGCCGTCCGCTTTTACGCCAATCATGGCGCAGCATTTGCTGGCGGCTGCGGACCGCTACGCCTTAGACCGGCTGCGATTAATTTGCGAGTCGAAGCTGTGCGAGACGGTGGATGCGGATACGGTCGCGACGACGCTGGCTCTGGCAGAGCAGCACAACGCGAAGCGGCTCAAGAACGTGTGCCTTCAATTCGCGGCGCAGAACCTCGCGAGTATGGACTGGCAATATTCTAGGCGAATTCTACAGTCTTGTATTTTTATGCCCTCCGCGCCACCTGTCTCCCCCTTTCCCTCTCCCCCCCTTCCCCCCTTTCCCACCCCTCTCCTCCCCTTTCCCCCTTCCCCTTACCCACTCCTTCTCCATCGTTTCATTGTCCCTCCTCTTGGTTACTCTAGCCCTCATCACCCTCTTCCCTGTCTCCTCCCTCTCTGTCGCTATACAGGTGTGATCCATTCAGAAGGTTTTGAGCATCTACGAATCAGCTGCCCGTCCCTTCAGGCGGAGCTGCTACAGGCTGTAGCAGGCGTGGGGAACAACAGTGAAATCCTAGCTGGTACAAGGAGGCCCGCGGATTCCATGTGGGCTGAGGATTCGAATGCAGACGGTACAGACCCTACAGGGAGGAGAGTCAGGCTCAGGTTGGGGAATCTGTAAATTCTTGGGGACATCATATTGCATGTCTTGATTGCTTGTATACTTCTGAGGCCCTAATCTGGAGTTTCTGTTCCATTCCTCGCTTCTGCACACGGAGTAAAGGTTTGGGATTCATCTTAGCCAGACACGTATAATAACCTGACACGTATAGATAGTCATACCGGTAGTGTAAGAGTGAAAATGGTTACCGTCTTGTGATGTTTCGCCAGGACTGTCCACCATTCAGGTTGCTCACATATATGTAAGCCTCATTTGATACCTATCATATCTCAAATGAGGGTACAGTTTGCTGCTCTCTATGTTAGCAATGAATGGTTTAGGGTTAATAACTTCTTGCTTACCCCTCTGGTCAGCCTATCCCCCTAAAGTCTCAACGAGTCCTGGTACTACCGTACCTCCATTTGCTACCACCTGTACACGATGCAACGATTTCGCATCATAGGAAGCAGCAGTCAGGCCACCGTCAGCAGGTGCAACAGCACCACCAGAAGAACCACCATCACTCCCAGTAACTGTATCAATACCAGCATCACCACCACCCACACCAGCAGCATCACCACCCACACCTGTATGAGCTCTTGCGCTATTGGCACCATCACCACTGACAGCAGAGGGTGTTCGGGATGCAGCAGGTGTGTCAGCATCACCACCTGCACTGCCCATTGGTTTCAGTGTATTCGTTGTTATCAAAGTTTTTGGTGTTTTTGCTGTTTTGGGTGTTCTGGGCGTTCTGGGTGTCCTGGGTGTGTCACCACCACGACCACTACCACCACCCGCACCCTCGCCCATCTCCATCAGAGCCGTCAAAGTCTGCACCATGTCGGCCATCGACGGCCGAGATTTCGCGTCCTGCAGGCAGCAGTGCGCAGCAACAGCGAGCTTCAGCGCTCCCTTGTGCGAGAACCGCCCTTGCAGCCTCGGATCCACGATCTCCCCGATCCTCTTCCGGTCCGCCAGGAACGGCTTGGCCCAAAAGACGAGGTTCTTCTCGTCGCCTGGCCGGCCTACGTCCACGGCTCTGCGGCCACAGAGGAGCTCCAGCAGCACCACTCCGAAGGCGTAGACGTCGCTCTTTGCTGTCAGGTGGCCTGGTGAACGTAGTGCAGTGGGGGGGCAAGGGGAGGAATGGCTTGGCCCTAAACACGAGGTTCTTCTCGTCGCCTGGTCGGTCTATGTCCACGGCTCTGCGGCCACAGAGGAGCTCTAGGAGGACCACTCCGAAGGCATACACATCGCTCTTTGCTGTCAGGTGGCCTGGTGAAGGTGGCGCAGTGGAGCAATGGGGCAGTGGAGCAAGGGCGGGAGGGTAGGGGAGTTGGTGATGCTTGTTTCCCTCCCAGCCACAGATCCACAAGCTCAATGATCCCCTTCCACCAGCCCTAACCTGTTTTGACTTTTGAGTTGACTCAAACGTTTGTTGCCCTTGCAGCCACAGATCCCACAAGCTCAATGACCCCCTTCCACCAGCCCTTACCTGTTTGTACCGCTCTGCCATAAGTACCCACCACCATGGTGGACACGTGTCTGTTCTCCCCTCTGCAGAGCCATACCTGCCTACACAGCTATGCACTGCTCTGAACCACATTATACCTGTTTGAAGATACTTAGGGGCAGTGTAGCCATAGGTACCGACCACCATGGTGGACACGAGCGTGTTCTCCCCTGCTGGTCCTTACCGTTCTGCACCATGTTGAACCAGAACATACCTGTCTAAACTCCTACTCCGTACCTGTCTGCAGATACTCAGGAGCAGTGTAGCCGTAGGTACCGACCACCATGGTAGACACGTGCGTGTTCTCCCCTGCTGGTCCGTCCTTAGCCAGCCCAAAGTCTGACAGCTTTGCATTGAAGTTCTGTCCGCAGAGGGGAGGGAGAGGGAGAGGGAGAGGGAGAGGGAGAGGGAGAGGGAGAGGGAGAGGGAGAGGGAGAGGGAGAGGGAGAGGGAGAGGGAGAGGGAGAGGGAGAGGGAGAGGGAGAGGGAGAGGGAGAGGGAGAGGGAGAGGGAGAGGCAGGGCTATTCTTTGAGTCGACTCACAAGTCACCCACCTAAGTACCGACCACCAAGGTGGACACATGCGTGTTCTCCCCTGCCGGCCCGTCCTTAGCCAGTCCAAAGTATGACAGATTGGCATTGAAGTTCTGCCAGGAAAATGTTGAGAGTGGTGGGATGGGATGAGATGAGGTGGGATGCGGTGGGGTGTGGTGGTGTGAGGCGAGGGGGTATTTCAAAGTACGTCAGGCACCAGCAGTACCGTCCTTGGCCAGTCCAAAGTCTGACAGCTTCGCATTGAAGTGCTGTCAGGAAAAGGTGGAGAGAGGTGGGGTGTGGTGTGGTGAGGTGTGGCGTGGCGTGGTGTGGGGGGAGGGGGGTATTCAGGTATGGGTCCCTCCTTCGCCAGTCCAAAGTCTTACAGCTTCGCATTGAAGTGCTGTCAAGCAGTGGAGGTGAGGGGGAGAGAGAAAAGACGCAGGGGGGGATGGGGAGGGGGGGGGGGGGGGAGTGTTGTGGGAAATTGATAGCAGCATGCATGGGGAACCCAAAACACCTGCCAGCCCGTGTTTGGCCAAAGTTTCCAGAGTCTGACAGCTTCGCATTATAGTTCTGTCAGAAAAAGGTTAAGAGGGGGGTGTGGTGATGGGATGGGACATGGATCACCAGCAGAGCAGGAATGAGTTATCCATACTCAGTGATTTTTACTACTCAGAGTAGTTTGGTCGGTCGAACCGAGCTTGCAGCTTTCTACCCGTTTTCTTCGTTTGAGAGCAGGAATGAGTTCTCCATGCGATCTCGCATGATTACGAGGTGACTTTTGAGTCGACTCAAAAGCCTCCATGCGATCTCGCATCTCATGTTTACCAGCCAGCCCAAAATCATATGAGATCTCGTATGACTACCAGCCAACCCAAAATCATATGAGATCTTGTATGATTACCAGCCACGCAGTCCTTTCATGCAGGTATGCCAGCCAGCCAGCCAGCCACCCCCTTGTGTTGACTCGGCCCAAGCCAAGCCTACAACACGCACACACACACAACCCTACGCCCTCACCTCATCCAGCAGAATATTGGCCGCCTTGAGATCTCTGAAGATCACCTGCTTCTTGGGTTGCTGGTTGATCCAGCTCCCCAGCCCACAACACACAACCCTACGCCCTCACCTCGTCCAGCAGGATATTGGCCGCCTTGAGATCTCTGAAGATCACCTGCCGCTCCGTGCCCTCATGCAAGTATGCCAGCCCCTTGGCCGCTCCCAGAGCCACGTTGACCCGCTGCTGCCATGTGAGAGGGGGGCGAGAGCCTGGCAGGGAGGGGCGGGCGAGGGATTGGAGCGGGGTGCGTGTGTCTCGCAAGTTGAGTGAGTCACCAGTCCTGTCATGCAGGTACGCTAACCCCTTGGCCGCTCCCAGAGCCACGTTGACACGCTGCTGCCACGTGAGAGGGGGGCGGGTGTCTGGGCAGCGGGCGGGACGGGGGAGGGGGAGGGAGAGAGGGGGAGATAAGCCGCCCCGTCCCTTCATGCAGGTACGCTAACCCCTTAGCCGCTCCCAGAGCCACGTTGACCCGCTGCTGCCATGTGAGAGGGGGGCGGGTGTCTGGCAGAGGAGGGGAGGACAGGGGAGATGAGACATGGCATATTTAGAGCGGTGGACTGAATTACCGCTCGGTTCCTTCATACAGATAAGCCGCTCCGTCCCCTCATGCAAGGTGACTTTTGAGTCGACTCAAAAGTCACCGCATGTGGACTGAACTACCACTCGGTTCCTTCATACAGATACGCGCTCCGTCCCCTCATGCAGGTATGCAACCCCTTAGCCGCGCCCAGAGCAGCATTCACGCGCTGTTGCCATGTGAGAGGGGGTCAGGTGCCTGGCAGAGGGGGGAGAGGGAGCGGGGTGGGGTGCATGTGTCTCGCAAGTTGGGTGAGTCACCTGACCCTCCATGCAAATGAGCTAGCCCGTTGGCAGCACCCAGAGCAGCATTCACCCGCTGTTGCCATGTGAGAGGGGGTCAGGTGCCTGGCAGAGGGGGGAGAGGGAGCGGGGTGGGGTGCATGTGTCTCGCAAGTGTCTGGTGTCGGGTCTCTGGCAGGGGGAGGGAGGAAATGGAAAGAGGAGAGAGAGAGAGAGAGAGAGGGCAGAGGGGTGAGCTAAGGGGCTTAAGGGAAGGAGGTTATCATGGATTGCACTGCATGTTTTTGTACCCCTGCTGAATCAATACAAAGGACCGTTTGAGAGAGGGCAGAGGGGAGGGGCGTGAAGGGAGTGGGGAGAGTGGAGACGGGAGTGAGGAGTGGGGAGAGCAAGCAGGGAATGAAAGACCCACCAATCAATGCCTTGATGCAGAAACGTGCACAGCTTACAGACGCAGAGATGCAGAGATGCAGAGATGCAGAGATGCAGAGATGCAGAGATGCAGAGATGCACTGACCACTCTCCCCACTGACAACAGGTGGTAGTCCAGCGATGCATCTGAGTTCATTGGCCATGAGCTCGTTCGAATACGAGCAGCGCTTGCTGCTGGTCCGTGCAGTACCCCAGCCACCAACACACACGCATACAAACACACACACACACACACACACACACACACACACACATCCGCATGAATGCAAACAGAGAGGGACTGACCGTCAAACAGGTGGTAGTCCAGCGATGCATTGGCCATGAGCTCCGTGCACTACCCGAAGCCACCCACCCATACGCATACGGAGGTGGTGGTCAGGTAAGACAACTGACCGTCGAACAGGTGGTAGTCCAGGGACGCATTGGCCATGAGCTCGTATACGAGCAGGGCTTGCTGCTGGTCCGTGCAGTACCCCACGAACTGCACCAGATGTGGGTGGCGCAGCCGCCGCAGAAACACCACCTCTGTCTGATGAGGTGGGGTAGGGGGAGACAAGATGGGAAAGAAAACGGGGAGACACGAAATTGGTAGTGTGTTAAAGCGGCGACCAGCAACACCCCTGCTGCTGCTGGTCCGTGCAGTACCCCACGAACTGCACCAGATGTGGGTGGTGCAGCCGCCGCAGAAACACCACCTCCGTCTGGAAGAAGTAGAAGGGGGAAGCGGGGGGGGAGACGGCAACAGATGGGGAAGAGGGGGTGGGGGGTCGGGGCGAACGAGCAGGGATAATTCTGCTCCGCGCAGAACCCCACGAGCTGCACCAGATGGGGGTGGTGGCGCAGTCGCCTCAGAAACACCACCTCTGTCTGACGAGGTGGGGAGAGAGAGGGGAGGGAGGGTGGGGAGGGGGGTGATGGGAGAACGGGGAAGGCATGGACGGGGGAGAACGGGGAAGGCATGGACGGGGGAGAACGGGGAAGGCATGGAGGGGGGAGAACGGGGAAGGCATGGACGGGGGAGAAAGATGGCAAAGAATGGGGAAACGGGATGGAGATATTGGGAATGTGCTGGAAAACCTGTCCCCACCTACCACTCACCCTACCACCCATGCCGTACCACCCATGCCCCAAGACCCAATGGAAAGCTTGTTGTGACCCCACCACCCGTAGCCCTTACCAGCCATTCGTTGAACCCCTGCCGGCCCTCGTCATTCAACTGCTTCACCGCCACGTGGCGCTCCTCCGTGCTGCCATCTGGCGCCTCCTCACGAACCACCCCGCGGTACACCTTCCCGTAACCACCCTCGCCCAGCACGTTCACCGCACTGAAACCATCTGTAGCCGCTACGAGCTCCTCATATGAAAACTCCACGGGGGTGGGCAGATTCGCGTCGTGGCGAACATTGTCGTCGTTGTTGCCTGGGTAACCATATTCGCCTAGACTGGCGCCGCCGTATCCTCCGCCGTACCCTCCGCCGTGTCCGGCGCCGTGTCCTGCGCCGTATCCTGCGGCGCCGTATCCTCCTCCTGCGCGTCCTCCGCCTGGTGACGGTCTTGGCGGAAATGAATCGTCCGAGGAGGGGATAGTGAGGGACGGACGACGAGGACGATTGATGGGCCTGGAATGAGGATTGGAATCGGAATGCCTGGAGGGGACTGGCGGCGGGGGGAGAGAATGAGCAGGGGAGGAGAAAGGAAGGGATGCGAGGGGATTGTGAGGGATGGACGACGAGGACGGACCTTGGAAGGGGACTGGCGGTGGGGGGAGAGTGAGGGGGGAGAGCAAGAAGGGTAGGAGAAGGGATGGGAGAAAGAGACCGGACGGGGTGGCAGCGGATGAGGCGATTGCGATGGGAGAGCAATGGTGTTGCATTTCGGTTTGAGAATGGTTCGACTTTTTTTATTTTATACAGATGTCCTATTTCCACGAGATTGCCGCCGACAGCTCGTCACGTGTGTCAAGACGCCTAGTAACGCGGACGTTTTGTAACGCGGACGCACTCTTTGGTCTCAATAGATTCCACGATTTGTCAGCCGAACGCGAGCCCGCAGAACCCATAAGAGAGCTACCTAAGCCTAAGGTGCGATCATCTGTGCTGTCAGAATAATCCGCGAATCGACGACATTAGGTTGCTCGATCCGCATTGGCTGTTTGCGCAATCATGACGATAGATGTAGTCTGTGTTTATGCTGCCATGCTTACGAAGAGTGGCGCAATGGTTGTCGGAAGAAGTTGAACTGAACGAACCAAAAGCCACCCTGGTGTGAAGCTTCTATACCGCTTGGGAACGTGATAAAACGAACTATATCGTACAGAATACCCCGAAAATGCAACTCACACACAGTTCCGATTGTCACCGACATTCTCAGCACCGTGTTCACCAAGACTTGGTAGCTATTCTCCGTGGCAGTGGTGTAGCAGAAACAAATCAGTTCAAGAATTTCTTGGTTTCGAAACAAAAGTTCTCGAGGGTCTGCTATGTCGGAATGGCGTGACGTTTTACATACAATATCACCGCATCCCGCGCACATGAGGCTTGACTTCAACCACTGGATCGAGGCGGTGCATTGGCCTGTGCTACCGACGAGGGTGCTTCTTGACTGAAAACATTCTCGAGAACTTTTGGACCCCAACGGCAAACTGTGCGTGAAAATTAGCTTCCCTCTCTCCCACCCAACGCCACGCCCCACCCCACCAAGGAAGCCGTTCTCAGTTTTCGCTATAGCCTATAAGTCAGTCACGTCACGACTCACGACAGTTCTAGTATTAGCTATGCGTGATCTACTAACACGCACTTAGCTTGTCGTACCAAAGAATCAGCAAGAGACTCTCAGCCAACCGTTTTCACCTCATATTTAGGTACAAACACTTTAACATAAACATTGGCTCCTTGTCCAGTCCAGTGGCCCCAAAAATCTTTACAAAACACCATATCGTACAAACACTGAAATGCACGTGACATGATTTGTGAAATGCAGCGCAGGCCAATCATTGCACGGCACCAAATCCGCTGCGTATGCTCACTAAAGCATTTGTAACTTGGCCCAAATCAAACTTATTTTCGCTGTCTTGATCCCCTTGACCCAACACTAGATTGTATTGTAACCCACAAGCGCTGGCAAGGAAGTGGTAACACGCGTTGTCGTAACGATCTGGTCGGATCTCAAGCACTGTAGCACCGAGCGGCATGAAGACCATGTTCGCTAGCGCTGCCCCATGCCCTGCTATGAAGAGACGGGCTTGCAGGAAGAGAGACCGTGCTGTGTGGGGATGGTGATTGCAAGGACAGGGAAAGGGAGTTCAAATCTCAAGCAATGTAGCACCTAGCGGCATGAAGACCATTTTTGCTAGCGCTGCCCCATGCCCTGCTATGAAAAGGCGAGCTTGTAGAAACAGGGATCGTGCTGTATAGGGAGACGGGGAGAATGGAAGTGCGGGGGAAGGGGAAAGAGAGGGGGAGGAGAGGTTATGGGGGATAGGCAGGAATGGAGGAGGGAATGAGCAATAGCATGCGGTCTCTGTTGCAGTGCTGCTCGCTGCCTTGCTCACTGCCATTCTCTCCGCTGTGCCCAGTCAAAGTTCCAAAGGAAAAGAAAAGAAAATAAGTAAAAGAATTTGTTTCAGATGGTGTGTGTATAGAATGGGTACAAGAAGGCAAAAGGTTTACATCACGAAACTTGTCGAAAGAAATCAGCAGCAAACCACCCTCACACTTTTTTTTACGCCTGAAAACACTTTCACCTCACACACCACCATAATGAGGTAAATTACAACCAATCAATCATCATCGCTTCTAACCTTCAAGAATCGGCAGCGAACCGTCGAAAGTCCGAACCTTCTCCTGCCCGAAAACTTTCTTCACCTCCTCCAAAAGCTCCTCAAACTTGTCCAAAACTCTTCGGCTGCCCGGGCGGCGTGCGACAACGACGAGCCAATCAGAGCGCAGAACAGCCGCCGCCTGCGTCTCCGTGATTGGCTGGATCCCTCGGGATTGCCAGCCATGCTTGTGGAAAAAGGGGAGGCCGTGTGGAGGGAGCAGGGCCCGTAGCCTCATGTCTCGCCAGATGGCTGGTGAAGGCTTGCCGCAACACTGGTAAAGAGGCTGCTTGTAAGGGGGACAGACGATGACACAAAGTAAATGTACAAATAAGTTAGAATATATAAAGCAGTTCATGATTAAACACACAAAGCACACATTCATCGAAGGAAGACAATCTGGATGGGGAGTAGAGAACATACGTGCGCATGTAAGACGGCCAAACTGTAAACAAATCTTTGTTGCTATATATACATACAGACAGGCATGTATGGATGTGTCTACATAACATATGTAGAGGCATATATGTGTCACCACTGTAATATTTAAATATTAGCATAAATATAAATATTGATATATAAACGTCTATTTAATATATAAGAAAATTGACAGAGATGGGTGTACCATGAACAGTTGGTCGACTAGGATGAGCTCGTTGGGTTTGACGTCCACTCGATTAATCTGCGCTAGCTCCACGCCCACCAGTGGCTTGAGCACTCGGTCGTAGAATGCCCACTGGAGAAGGAAGGGTGAGGGAGGAGGGTGAGAGTTGAGAGAAAGATGAGCTCGTTGGGTTTGACGTCCACTCGATTCATCTGCGCTAGCTCCACGCCCACCAGTGGCTTGAGGACTCGGTCGCAGAATGCCCACTGGAAGACACAGTGCAGATAGAGGGAGTGTGGATGGAGGGAGTGTGGATAAAGGGAGCGTAGGCGGAAAAGGTGCGGTGCAGTAGGAGAAAGAGAGACGTCAGGAGGACAGGCTTGCGTCAGTGTTTAGAGGGGGTGGAAGGGTGACTTTAGAGTTGACTAAAGAAGGACGGGAGCGAGGAGGACAAAGGAAGTGATGCCTGACGCAGGGGATTGTGGGTGGCTTGGGGGTCGCTTGGGGGTGGTTTGGTGGCGGCTTGTGGGTGGCTTTGCGGTGGCTTGGGGGTGGCTTGGCGGTGGCTTGGGGTTGGCTTGGGGGTGGCGTGGGTTGGTGTGGGGTGGCGTGGGTTGGTGTGGGGTGGCGTGGGTTGGTGTGGGGTGGCGTGAGTTGGTGTGGGGTGGCGTGGGTTGGTGTGGGGTGGCGTGGGTTGGTGTGGGGTGGCGTGGGTTGGTGTGGGGTGGCGTGGGTTGGTGTGGGGTGGCGTGAGTTGGTGTGGGGTGGCGTGGGTTGGTGTGGGGTGGCGTGGGTTGGTGTGGGGTGGCGTGGGTTGGTGTGGGGTGGCGTGGGTTGGCTGTAAGTTTTTGAAAACTTTGGAAAAGGACCATGGAGCAGTCACAGCACAGCAATCCAAGGAGTGCGGTTCTGGCTGCATTACTCCCAAGTACAGCACTTCATTGCACTGGACCATTCTCACAATCACCAGCCAATGACTGCTATCTTTGGCCACCTCCATGAGGACGTGACAGAACCAGAAAGCACCGCACGTCACAGCGCTGCACCGCACTGCATCCCACTCACTCACTTCCAAGAACCTGTTCAGGTGTGCTCAGGACTGCTATGTTTGGTAGTTTCTGCAGCAAGGGAACGAGCAGCAAGGGAACGAGCAGCAAGGGAACGAGCAGCAAGGGAAGGAGCAGCAAGGGAACGAGCAGCAAGGGAAGGAGCAGCAAGGGAAGGAGCAGCAAGGGAAGGAGCAGCAAGGGAACGAGCAGCAAGGGAAGGAGCAGCAAGGGAACGAGCAGCAAGGGAAGGAGCAGCACGGGAAGGAGCAGCACGGGAACGAGCAGCAAGGGAACGAGCAGCAAGGGAACGAGCAGCAAGGGAACGAGCAGCAAGGGAACGAGCAGCAAGGGAACGAGCAGCAAGGGAAGGAGCAGCAAGGGAACGAGCAGCAAGGGAAGGAGCAGCAAGGGAAGGAGCAGCAAGGGAAGGAGCAGCAAGGGAACGAGCAGCAAGGGAAGGAGCAGCAAGGGAACAAGCAGCAAGGGAAGGAGCAGCACGGGAAGGAGCAGCACGGGAACGAGCAGCAAGGGAACGAGCAGCAAGGGAACGAGCAGCAAGGGAACGAGCAGCAAGGGAACGAGCAGCAAGGGAACGAGCAGCAGGAACTGAGGCAGCCGCTCTATGAGCCCGTGATAGACCCCCGTGGCTTGCAGGGACACGAGGGAGAGAGCGAGTACCGCACTCCACCACATTCCACCCCCATATGAAGCGTACCTGTTCGGGCGTGCCAAGCACTGCTATGTTGGGAAGCTTCTGCAGCAGCGAAGCGAGCAGGAGAAATTGAGGCAGCCACTCTATGAGCCCGTGATAGAACCCCGTGGCCTGCGGATACACGAGGGAGAGAGCGCGGTGCATGTGGCGCACTGGGGTAGATTGGGGGTAGGAGAACTGGTGGGGGGAGGGCAGGGGTGGAGTGGGGCATAAGGGCGAAAAGTTACAACTTTCAAGTAGCTGGTGGCTTGTGGGTGCACCAAGGGGAGCGTCCTGTGCATGTGCCGCACTGGGGTGGACTGAGGGTATGAGAACTGGTGGAAGGAGGAGAAGAAGGGGTAGGGAGTAGGGAGGAGGAGAAGAAGGGGTAGGGAGTAGGGAGGAGGAGAAGAAGGGGTAGGGAGTAGGGAGGAGGAGAAGAAGGGGTAGGGAGTAGGGAGGAGGAGAAGAAGGGTAGGGAGTAGGGAGGAGGAGAAGAAGGGGTAGGGAGTAGGGAGGAGGAGAAGAAGGGGTAGGGAGTAGGGAGGAGGAGAAGAAGGGGTAGGGAGTAGGGAGGAGGAGAAGAAGGGGTAGGGAGTAGGGAGGAGGAGAAGAAGGGGTAGGGAGTAGGGAGGAGGAGAAGAAGGGGTAGGGAGTAGGGAGGAGGAGAAGAAGGGGTAGGGAGTAGGGAGGAGGAGAAGAAGGGGTAGGGAGTAGGGAGGAGGAGAAGAAGGGGTAGGGAGTAGGGAGGAGGAGAAGAAGGGGTAGGGAGTAGGGAGGAGGAGAAGAAGGGGTAGGGAGTAGGGAGGAGGAGAAGAAGGGGTAGGGAGTAGGGAGGAGGAGAAGAAGGGGTAGGGAGTAGGGAGGAGGAGAAGAAGGGGTAGGGAGTAGGGAGGAGGAGAAGAAGGGGTAGGGAGTAGGGAGGAGGAGAAGAAGGGGTAGGGAGTAGGGAGGAGGAGAAGAAGGGGTAGGGAGTAGGGAGGAGGAGAAGAAGGGGTAGGGAGTAGGGAGGAGGAGAAGAAGGGGTAGGGAGTAGGGAGGAGGAGAAGAAGGGGTAGGGAGTAGGGAGGAGGAGAAGAAGGGGTAGGGAGTAGGGAGGAGGAGAAGAAGGGGTAGGGAGTAGGGAGGAGGAGAAGAAGGGGTAGGGAGTAGGGAGGAGGAGAAGAAGGGGTAGGGAGTAGGGAGGAGGAGAAGAAGGGGTAGGGAGTAGGGAGGAGGAGAAGAAGGGGTAGGGAGTAGGGAGGAGGAGAAGAAGGGGTAGGGAGTAGGGAGGAGGAGAAGAAGGGGTAGGGAGTAGGGAGGAGGAGAAGAAGGGGTAGGGAGTAGGGAGGAGGAGGACAGACGGGAGGGAGGAAGAGGGAGGAGAGAGGGGGGGGGGGGGGGGGGAGGAGGGAGGCAAAGAGTAGAAAACGACGGGAGGAGGGAGGGGCGAAAAGGGAGGGGAAGTTGAGGGAGCTTGCTTGAACCAACTGCTACTGACTGTGGAACATGAGAGAGTTAAGGGACCTTGCTTGCACCTGAGAATGCGAATGCCCAGGCTTGAGCCGTCTAGAAAAAAATGGAGGAGCACCTTTCACATCAGAACACTCAGGTGATTTTGAATCAACTCAGAAATCACGTCGATGCGGTCACTCAGTGGAGCAACTCTCAGATCAGACAGCTCACAAACGCGAAATGGGATTGCTTCAAAACTGAAGATTGAACTAAGGTTTTTGTTTTTGTTGGTTTTTTGTTTTTTTGTTCCTGCGACAGTTATTTAGGCGCCCAAAAACTGTCACCTGTAAGAATTCTCGAAACTTTTACTCTCTGAGCGCCACCTCGCATCAGAGCGATCACGTCGTCAAAACGGCCACATCCCTTGCAAAGTGCAAAACCAAATCCAGAAAAAGACCCCCATCCATTCACTTCACTGTAAGCCCAACCCAAGTGCCAGCTGTAAGTCCACAAGCCAGAACTAACCTCGGAGAAATGGCCGCATCCCTTGCGAGCAAAGTGGGTTGATTCGTTAAACACCTGCCCCTGCGCGCTCACATAGACCCCCCGCAGCAGGAAGGTCTGAAACACCATCCACTTGTGCCATGCAAAGTCAGATTCATGGCTGCATCTCACATCGAACCCCTCCGCACCGTTCTCCACCACATTCTTCACCTTCGGGCAGTTTTCCGGTGCCCGGAGCCACTGCTTCCCGTCGTCCTCCAGCCCGGGGTTGAAACACGCAGAAATTTCCGGGTTGACAGAGCACCTGCCCGAGAAATCCGGGCAGGTGGGGGCGTTGGAGCAGTTGAGGGAGTCGAGATGGGGGGAATAGAGGGCACCGATATTGAGGTGAAGCTCTGACATGGAGGAACGGGAGAGAGGGGAGGGGAGGGAGGCTGGAGAGGAGAGGGCCTCCTGTAGAAGGGAGCCCATGGGGTCTAAGCCTAGAGATTCAAGGGAGCTGCTGGTCCTGCTGCTGTTGCTGCTGCTGCTGATGCCACTGGTGCCGGTGCTGGTGGTGGTGGTGGTGCTGCTGCTAATGCTGTTGGTGCTGGAAGCGGCTACAGGTGCGGCTGGTTGCCCCCTCAGCCGCGCCTCTGCTTCTGTGAGTCGCTGCAGCAGCTGCTGTGCGCGCTGCTGGGCTCTGTTTGAGCAAATAGGGGGCACACAATGGGAGAGTGAGGCACACAATGGGAGAGTGGGGCACACAATGGGAGAGTGAGGCACACAATGGGAGAGTGAGGCACAGAGTGCAGGTAAGGCATGAATGCATAAAGAGTCACAGAGAGGGCAACCTGAGTCAAGGAGGCGAATAGGCGGCAGTGATGGGGAGTCAATATCCTTTCTTCGGGAACAGTGTGTGGCGGGCACACACACACACACACACTGCATGAATACCCTCCCCCCTCTCGTTATACTCACACTTGTCTGTCCACCCTGCTTTGTGCCACATCAGCAGCCAGCTGCTTCGCCTCCTGCTCCAATGATTGTATTTCCGACACTAGCCCATTTCCACCAGCTGAGCTAGCAGTTGACATGGCAGATGCTGAGCTGGCAGTTGAGGTGGCAGCTGCTGTGCTGTCAGGTGACGTGGCAGGCAGTCCACTGGCGGATCCTTGGATCAGTCCAGACTCCTGCCTGGATTCACTGGCTCCTGTTGCTAGCGATTCCAATGATTGCTGTAACCCTGATGCTTGTGGTAACCCTGTTACGTTTAGTAACCCTGTTGGTAATTCTGGTGATTCTTGCAACCCTGTTGATTTTGGTAAATCTGTAGGCTCTGATACCACTGTAGACTGTGGTAACCCTGTTAACTGCCCTCCTGCTCGCTCCTGCTCTGCTAATTGCTTCCTCAGCTCCCTTTCCATCTCCGAAACCCTTCCCAGCAGCATCTCGTCATTTTCCAGGGTAACTTCCCCTGGCCCTGAAGCACCTGCCTCTGCACTATTCCCTGCTGCCCCTGCCCCAAAAACATCCTGCACCCGCTGCTGCAGAAGCTGCGATTGGGTAAGAGACTCTTGTTGGGCTTGTGCTGTCAGGAGCACTGAGAGGGAAGAGGGGAGGAAGGCAAGAGAAGGGTCTGGGAAGGAGCGTGAGGGGGGCAGAGGGAGCTTGGGGAGTTGGAGCTGAGAGGAGAGACTCGTCTTGGGCTTGTGCTGGCCGGAGGACTGAAAGGGACGAGCGGAAGAGGGGATGGGCGGACCAGGGGGATTGGGCGGACCAGGGGGATTGGGCGGACCAGGGGGATTGGGCGGAAAGGGGAAAAGAAGGGATGGCAGGGACAAGCAGGGCTGGGGGAGTTGGGGCTGAGAGAGAGACTCGTCTTGGGCTTGTGCTGGCCGGAGGACTGGCATGGACGAGGGGGATAGAAGAGAAGGGAAGCCGCGAGGAGGGGAGCGGGGAGACGCGAGGAGGGGAGCTGGGAGACGAGAGGAGGGGAGCCGGGAGTAGAGTGGAAGGTTAAAGATGAGACGCGAGGAGAATGGAAACTCGCGGCGCGAATTAAAGCAGGCGTGGGGCTCCACGTGGGCTTGGAGCTGTCGAGCCACCCACGTGGGCTGTGATTCGCGCCTCCGGCCACGTGGGTTCCTCAAAACACACATGTGGTGGAACCGTGCTTGAGAAAGAACGACGAGAGGAGGGTCAGGTGGAAGGGAGGAGAGACGAACGAGCGCGTAATGGCAACTAGAGGGGAGAACAGACTCAGAAAATAGGAGAAGTAGATAACGTAATGCTGGGAATGCTGGATCCAATTTAGAGAATTTTGAGTTGTGCCCCCAAAGTGGGTCCAAGAGGGAGGGGAATCAGCAGCACTGGCTTACGGAGAAGGAGGAGCAACGGACTGAGAACCCCGCGAGCAGGCATGCTGCCGTCCAGACGCAGGGGTTTGAAACGGCGTCTCGTCTCACGCTCGACTTGGTGATGCTGAATTAGAAACGGCTAACTCCGTACAAGCCGGAAGCAAAAAGCTTTTCGACAACTCAACAATCAGCTGCGCTGCGTGACACCTGACTGACGCAGTGACCTACCAGTAGTTCTGTATGCACCTCCGTCCAATTATAACAGAGGTTGGGCACTGCTCTGGCAGCTATGACTAGGGCGCGTCCATGGTGGTCGGAGGTCGAAGGATGGTGAGGCATGAGTTGTAACCTGTTGGCTTCCTGGCTTCGGGACATCCGCTGTGCTTGTCATCCCAAATCTTGGGAAGACACGAGCTGCAATGCAGCACCTCGGATCGCTCGAGTGCTAGTTTCTGAATTTGCGACAAAAAGTACACTCAAGTACTGTGCAGCATTGCACATTTCTGCGTCGTCCGAAAGCGGAACGGTCGCCAGTTTGTTTTGGCGATCGCAACTTACAACGACGAGAGCTACGATTTCGCGTAGCCAGCAAAATATATGTTCAGAAAAAATCGTGAACAGAATTTTGGGATATGAATATTGAGGAAGGTGTAATTTCGCCCACCATGTTCGCTGAAGCTCGCTAACTCCCGAACAGAAGACCAAAGCTCGATTCGGTAAAATCGCGGCTCGTGAAATTATATCGGAATGTCCCAAAGCCGGGATGTCCCGAAGTCAGGAATCCGCCCTAAAGAAGATCACTAAGCTAGTCAACATCAGGCAACATATAACCTATTACCAGTTCAATTGAGTGAGCGAACAAAGTTTGCAAAACAATAGATTGAGTAAAGAAATACGGTAGTGAACTAGCATTGTAACAAAAACGAGCGTATCGTGGGATGGGCGACAAGCCTAGCGCCGAGGTTAGGAATTGTCGAGGCGGAGGACCGGAGCGCAGGTAACAAGCCGAGCCGTGAGTTTGGGTCATCATGTGAATAGTAGCGGGAACAATAGTCGAGGCGAGTGTCGCGAGGTGGTAACGGTTCTGTTGGGCACTGTTGGCGGGAACAGTCATGTAAGCCGTAAGCAGGGGCGCGAAGTAAGAAAAGCGATCTTTTCTTACGGAAACTAACGTGAACACCGAACGGAGGTCGAGCGTACAAATGAATGTCCACGTGCACGTTTTGCCAAACGTGTGCACTTTTGCACACGTTTGAAAAAAAAAACTGTTAAATCTGCGAAACGAAGAAACATCGTCATGCGCACTACCAAAGCCATGCCAGTTTCAATGCGTTGCCAACCGTCACGTAAAAGGCGTCGTCTCGAAATTGGGTAACATAAGAATTATATATGCGACTCAGGCCGTGCCCTAAGCTCGAAGTTAGAGGGTCGACCATAACTGGTGCTATGTGCTTGACGAGAGAGGTGAACACGCGACTCGACTGTCAAGAGTTAAGATACTCGACTGTTCAATTGTTGAAACTCAAACAATATTCTCAAACTTTACACTTGGGGCCGAAGGAAACGCGCCCTTTGGGCTGCGGAGAGTCACTACACAATGGGAGTGGACTACGGAGGAGGGCATGGGGTTGTGCGAGTGATTGTAGCTTGCAGTACCGTCATGCCCTGGACATACCCCCAGATGGGCGTATAAAAAAACATGGAAAATTTGTGGGTGGGCTTACATGTGAGAATGTTGTATTTGTCTAGCCTGTGGTGGGGTACTCTACAGCAAATACAGCCCAATTTAGGGTTTCCTATATGTACTCAACTGCTTGCTAGTGCAACCCCTCTTTCGTGTTCTAACTTTCTGCCTACTATTTTGACATGCTATCAGAGCGGTTACGCTCCTAGCCTTTGGGCCCACCGTTAGCTTCCGCTGCTGTCCTGTCTGTCGCGCGCCCCGTGGCGCGCTACGTTTTTTCTTCCCGCCACGCGCTCGAGGCGCATGGCGGTTTTCTGCCCGCCGAGCGCTTGGGGCGCGCGGCGGTTTTCTGCCAGCCATGCGCCCCGAGGCGCATGGCGGTTTCCTGCCCTGTCGACCAGCGCGTCGCCCCCCGTCGCCCGTCGAAGCACTCCCGGGAACCTGCGCGTTGCCCCCCGTCATCCGTCGAAGCGCCTCTGGGCCCTGCGCGCGGCCCGTACGACCTGCGCCAGGCCCACGCGCGGCCCGTACGGCCTGCGACAGGCCTGCGCGCGGCCCGTACAGCTCGCGCGCGGCCCGTACAGCCTGCGTCCGGCCCGCGCGCGGCCTGTACAGCACGCGCGCGGCCCGTACGACCTGCGCCAGGCCCACGCGCGACCCGTACAGCCCGCGCGCCGCCCGTACGGCCTGCGCCAGGCCCATGCGCGGCCCGTTCAGCCTGCTCCATGCCCGCGCAAACCTGCCCTGCCGTGCGTGCGCCCGCTCCCGCCCCGTACTGCCTGTGTTAGGGTTTGGGGGTGGTGAGTATGGGGGTGACGGGTGTATGAGGCCTCCCCTGCTCCTCCTCCTCCTCCGTCTCCCACTGCTGCAGCTACCGCTGAGGGGGGTGGATGTGTGGGAGCCGTCAGAGTGGTACTAGGGGGGTGGAGTGTGAGCAGTGCTAGGGGAACAGCAGGGGGTGTGTGAAAGGGGTGTGGGTCAGCTGGGGGATGTTGAGAGGAGGCAGCCGTCTTGTCGTCCGCAGCGCCAGTAGTCCGGAGGCTACAATCTCCGTTAGTCGCCAGTCGCCCGTAGGTCAGTTGCTCTAGTCGGTCGGTGTAGCCGCGGAGCCAGTTACTCCTGAAGTCCGGCCTTTGCTTCAGTAGCCACTGAGCCAGCCGCTACAGTGTGTCTGCAGCTTCAGCCCTCGCCTCCCATCTTCTCGCCCCCACAGTCTCTCCTCCTCCTCACTTGCCCTTTGTGATAGCCTCTAGCTTTGCTTATCATTATTAACTATTGCTCTGCCTGCTTGTTGTGCTGATAATACCCCACTTTGGTTATGGGGGTGTGTCAGAATGTTGTATTTGTCTAGCCTGCAGTGGGGTACTCTATAGCAAGTACAGCCCAATTTAGGGTTTCCTATATGTACTCAACTGCTTGTTAGTGCAACCCCTCTTTCGTGTTCTAACTTTCTGCCTACTATTTTGACATTATAATGTGGATTTTTTTATAACCCCATGCGGGAAATAAATGACACTTAGTAAATTATGATTTTAAAACACAAAAATGTAGATCTCAGCCCTGCTGTTTCAATCGAGACTACCACAAAACAGTTCGCTTCGAAATTCACCGAAAATCTGCCACCCTGGTGAAAATCCGTGCCATCATGTGCTGAAATGTTGCTAACACTGAGAAGAAGTGAACGAGAATGGAATAACTATGAATGAAGTGAGTACATATAGGAAACCCTAATTGGGTTGTACCCCCTATGGGATACCCCACTATAGCCTACACAAATAAGTAAGCTATAATGTTCTGACACACCCCCATAGGCAAAGTGGGGGAGAACAAGGGGTCACACGACCAGTCAAGCAAAGCAAGGCAAAGCTCAAGGTGGATCACAAAGTCACCACACATTCCGAGCACAGGTTCAAAGGCCAAAAGGCCAGTTCACATGCAAGAACACATATATATAGATATACAAGAGGCTAAGCAAGCAAGAGCAAGAGTATATATAAGTGACAGTACAAGCAAGGTCAAGAAGTGAGCAAGTGAGGCAAGACAGGCACAAGACCCAACTGAGTGCAGAAGCGCTGATGATCACAAGGCGCAAGTGCCTTGGTGAAGACATCAGCAGTGTTGGCCTCAGAGGCCACGTACGCAAGCCGCAACTGTCCACGCTGCTGTAGCTCACGAGCAAGAAAGTAGCGGAGAGCAATGGGCTTTGTCCTGTGCTCCAGTCGCTGCTCTCGACACAAGGCCAGCATGGCCTTGTTGTCTACGTACAGCACTGGAGGAGAACGAGGCGGCTCTCCAAGGTCGGTCAGCAGGTAGGTAAGCCAGCGAAGCTCCTGGGCAGCCATAGCCCCGGCGTAGATCTCAGCCTCACAACTGGAGCCGAGAACAGAAGACGAGCGGGTAGCCCGCCACGAAACAGAGCCGGAACCGAGGCTGAAGGTGTAACCCTGTGACGACCGCTGCGTAGCCTGGTCGTCAGCCCAAGAAGCGTCCGCGTGCCCAGTGAGGACCACTGGACTCCGCCCTCCAAGCACTAGCCCCATGCCCGACGTACTGCACAAGTAGCGCAACACCCTCTTCGCTGCAGCCATGTGCTCTGGTCGGTGTCTCCCAGGAGCAACATAGCGTGCGAGAATGCTAAGAGGGTATGCAAGGTCGGGTCGAGTGCAGGTCATCATGTACATGAGGCAGCCAACAAGCTCTGGATACGGGCCACTCGACTCTACGGACTCATCCGAAGGCAGAGCTGAGAGCGAGTGGCGAGTAGGCAGAGGAGTGGCCTGAGGCGAGGAGTACGTGAAGCCGAAGCGCTGAAGGACCTGCTGCAGAATGTGTGACTGAGTCAGGGTAATGGTGCGGCGTGCTCTGTCCC